GAAACCAGCGCATTGAGGAGCTCGAAGAGGCTTTGCGCCAGCAGCAGGTGCAAGAAGAGCGCTCGAAAGCAGAAGTAGAGGAGCTGCAAAAACTACTTGAAAAAATGGCACAGGCCATAAAACAGGCAGAGCAATCAAGGGCTGCAGCAGAAGAGCGCGCTGCTGCATCACAAGAGCCCCCAGACACGGCAGCAGAGGTGGCAGCCAATGAAAAAGCTGGAAACCAGCGCGTTGAGGAGCTCGAAGAGGCTTTGCGCCAGCACCAAGTGCAAGAAGAGCGCTCGAAAGCAGCGATTCAAAAGCAGCTCGAGGGGAAAGACAAAGAAGTAGAGGAGTTGCAAAAGCAACTTGTCGAAATGGCACAGGCCATAAAACAAGCAGAGCAATCAAGGCCTGCAGGGGAAGAGCATGCTGATGCACCACAAGAGTCACCGGAGAAGGCCGCAGAGGTTGCAGCACGTGTAGTTGTCAGCCACTGGGTTGAAAAGGCTGGAAGCCAAAGCCCTGCAGAAGAAAAGTCTGTCCGAGACAATCAGCAGACTTCGGAGTGGCTTTCGCAGTGGGACTCAGAAGATATATTTTTGACAGTTCCCATGGTCATGGCATCTGGGATGTGTGAGCAGGGTCTTGCACCAACCCGGGTTGGGCTGAAGGGGTCGGACTTTTTGATACAACCCTTGCTGCCAGCAGGGCCGCCAGAACGGATGAAATTGAGCAGCGTGAAGTCAATCAGCACTGAGGTGTGCGGTGACAACGTGTCATTGCTGCTGGACATCGAAGAGGGTGGAGCTCAGAGAAGGCTTCAGCTGAAGAGCGATGAAGAAAGCACGGAAGCTCTGCTTGCCACCTTGACACTTGATGTGAGAGTCATGCCAGGAGAGGAGCTGAAGAGATAGCTCAAACCAAGTCTCACCACAAGCTCATCCAAAGTTCGGCTTGTGATTAGCGCTTCGGTGCTTCTTTGTCCTTTAACAGTCGGCCTCGGTGAAAGAGAAGTTGTGAATCGAAGCTCCAATCAGGTTAATTTTCAATTTTGAATGCTTGATTTTTGTAGCGAGGCAAGTGATGCGGAATAGTTACAGTTACCCGTGGACACCCGGTCGCCAAGTTAGAATCTGGGGAGCTTGCACCTGACCAAATACTTCAAACCCATTGAACATCTGTGGACCTGTCTCATGCTCTTTAACCATGCGGTTGTTGCTGCAATTGCTGCCGTCCTCGCGAAGATTGCTCGTTTGCACCTTTCTCTGCGGGTCGGTCATGACAGGCATCGATGGCGCTGCCCGACTCCGCTCCGTGCAATTCCGCCGGCTCTGGACCTTCTACGACTCATGGGCCATGGATGTGACCGCCGATGACCGGAGCCTCTCGGAACGCCACATTGACCGTCGTCGTTTGGACATCCGTTGAGTCCTCCTCGGTCCTCACGTGGTGGAATGGCTTTGAAGGCGTTCTGAGGTCGTTTCCTCGCTTATCTGGTGTGCTCCGAGTGGAATAGTTTGAATAGTCTAGGATTCTATGACCGATGCAAGTGCTCGTTGTTCAGCTCCGTGCCTCAAAGGCGACCTTGATGAGCTGCTGAACATGCTTGAGACCTTTATCAAGGAGCATCGCGCTGACAGGCGCAGCTCGCAGCTTGCGAAGTCGCACTTCTTTCGACCAAGAATGGTGGACAAGAAAGATGACTGGTGAATGTATGTGAATGTGACAGTTCAAAGATGTTAGGATGAAGCAAACCCAAAAACGGCTGCCCTGGAACGGGCTTTCTCACAGAAACCGCCAGGGCTCATAGGGGCTTTTTTGGGTAAGTTTTAGTTGGTCCGAGAGGTGAGGACAAACCCCAATATTTTTTAGATCCTCCATGTTTTGTCCTTCAGAAGATTTGGCATTGGGGCTTTGGCTTTGAACTGCGAACCCATTCTGCCTAGGCCGGTGCTGCTTGTGGCAGAGTCCATGGGTGCGGTGTTGGCGCTGAATTTGGCCTTCAACCAACCCAAGCTAAATGAAGTGGGAAGCCAAGATGACAAAGTGCTGGTTTCGGTTTCTTCTTTGGTGTGGGCTTGTGTAATCTGCACTACTTATATAGGTCAATGTATCTATGTTCTGGATGTGCAGTTTGCACGGTTTCGGTTCTTAATAAGACCTCAAGAAAGGGCACAGCACATGTTTGTCGGTTCGTTTGTAAACTTGTTGTCGTCAGCCTTCTTACTCTGGAAGGCTCTTTGTTTGATCAATCCGGCCACCAGCTACAGAAGTGCTTCGGCTCGCATCAGCCTGTTCTTGTTTTGAAGTCTGCGACGCCTTCGCAAGCACTAGAAAGGTAAAGCAGCAAAGCACAGCAAAACTTGGCTCCGAAGGAACGCCGTTGTCATTGTTGGCGCCGTTGCTTCCAAGCCTACCGGAGAACCTCTATGAGACCCTGCCAGCCGCACCTGGGCAGAGATAAACACCCTTCCCTCAGCTGAGTGTTTTCTCACAAGCTTTGAATGCCACGCAACGGCCAATGCACTTGAGCAATATGCAAACCAAGGTGATCACACCACTGGTTGGCCGAGTTGGCTGGTATGAGGGAGTCATTAGCTCCCAGCCACCTGAACGAAGTACTGATTAAACCGGTTCATGCTGCTTAGGCTTAAACCAGTCAACTTCTCTGAGCCGCCCTGAACCGCCTTCGGTCAAGATCTGAGGCAAGTTGACTCCGCTGGCTCCAGCCCTTTGGAGAACTTCCTGCGCATCAGCCGTGCCCCGGTGGGTTTTTACAGGTCGGGCAGACGGACGTTGAATGGCCAGTGTCGCCGATGGTTCGGCGGCTTTGCTTCGCCTTGTCTCACGCAAGGTGGGATGCTGATGGCAATTTGCGTTGTCTCACCTTATGTGCTAATTGTTTCCCACCAAGGCGGCTTGAGCAAAGCGTTGCCTCCAGAAACCCTGCGCTTTCGTGAGTCTCTCCTGCGCTGCTTGGAAAAGTCCAGTTGTCCGACCTTTTTCATGAGATCGGTGGCCTAGGCCTAGGCCTACTGTAGGCTTATCAAATTGTCCTGCCCCTGCATCAAATTTGAGGACGCTTTACTCTACGGGATGGTTCACTTGCACGTATTTAGTATGTCTTGGTTGGTTTTGAGGTATTACCACGGCAGTGTACTCAACTGACAGACATTGAGCTCTCCACAGATGCTTGAACCCACCGCAAGCTTTGCAAAGCTCTAGAGATACAATCGGCCACGCTGAACGTAGATTAACACCGAGATGAGATTACCGAGATGAACACCGAGATAAGTGCTTTTGCGGCACTTGTTTGCCCCAATTACCTTCGAAGATACACCGTCTTAGCTGGTTGAGACTCTTCATTGTTTATTTAAACAAAATCATGCCGTCACATTGCTTTATTTCGAGCAGCAGAACGGTGCTCGCTGATCTTAGTAAACATCCAGAAGGATATATATATATAACTAATTATATATATATATATCTGTATATTAAAGGATACTGTAATGTCTAGTTATCGACTCTATGCGGTCTCCCAATTACGGTGATTAGTTATGTTCTCTAAATGTCAACCATTTGGAGTTGGGCTATGTGTCACCAGTAGCGTTTCAGAGGCAACCTTTTCCTTGGTGTTTGCAGTGCGGGTTAATCCAACCTTTGTACCCCAAATCCGCTCGGATTCCCAAACGACTGGAGCCCATCGTTGGTTCCGAGGCAAGGGTTTGCGGCGTTTGGAGCCCAGGATGGCGGATCCACCGGCCATTGTCACTCTCCTGGTGGCCGGGGATGCGGACGCAGTTCTACCATCAGTGGCCGAAACGGCACGCTTGCAGAAGTTGCTTCCAGGCAGCTTGGATTTGGGGTTTCAAGCTTCTGCAGTTGCGAGATATTTCAGACAGATGTAAGTGGGCTGTGAGCCCATCTGACGATCCGACCACTGCCGTGGCCTTTTCGGCTTCAAAAGGCCCCAAGCGGAGAGTAGATTAATTGTTATGCTCCCTTTTTTCATATGTTGAAGCCACCAGTGAGTATCCCCCGCGCGCCGTCCATGCCGCGGGTGCAACTGCAGCTGGATGTGCAGGATTCGCAGGAGAGATCGGCCAGTGAATCAGATCGAGAGATGAGCAGCAGCAGCAGCAGTGGTTGCGAGTGTGATTTTGTGCCCCCTTGCCACCCTTTGAGGGAGAGAACGCAAGTGTTGAGCAGCATTTGGCTCACAAGTGCGCCTTGGACCAAGAACATCCTTGCTGTGTGGCACACATACCTGCTTTGCGTCGCAGCGTGTGCCATATCCTGTGCCTCTTTGGTCGTGGTGCTTTTCTGGCATGTAGAGTGGTACCACCACTACGATCCCCAGGTATCCAGCTTTGACTTCACGCTGCACTTTCTTGCAGCCTTTGTGAAATCCTGGTTGCTGATTGGCACCACCAGCGAGCTGCTTCGCTTTTGCTACTTGCTTAGTGTGGATGCCTGGCGAGTTGAGATGTTTGAAGCATATCGCCGGGCGCTTTGCTTTGCATCCTTTGCGGAGATTGCTGCTGGAACTCTCTATGTTTGTGGCTGGCCTGCCCCCATCCAAAATTGGCGCAAAGTCGCCGATGTGTTTCTGCAGTTTGCCATCCATCTCTCCCTGGACATTTTTCCAATCATCATGGTGGCAGTGGACCTGGCGACCTGGAACAGCAATTTCGAACTCTCCAGTGCTATGCTGGCCATTGCGTGCATTCATGTGATTCTCTTCTGGGCCGCTTGGACCATTGGGGACTTGGCTCTGAAAGTCAAGGCCTTTTCAGCTGCCTGTCGAGCCAAAGTTCTAAAGGTTTCTCACCTGGGCACGGCCACGCGTGTGTTGCCTTTGGTCGTGTCAGACGACGAGAAGGAAAGTGAGAACGAGAACATTCCAGGCTGGGATTTGCAAAACACCTTCGTAGTGGAGGAGATGGAACCTACCGGGCGTCTCAGAACCCGGAGTATGACGATTGCAGTGGCTGGCCCTTTTCAGGCTGAAGAGGTGGACATGGACGCTGACACCACGCCAGCTGTGTCCAGTACTTCCGAACCGATCCCCGCACGGGGTCGAAGTCAGAATATCCTGGTGAACGAGAATGTGGTACAGAATGCCCAAACCTACGGCAAGTTGGGCAATGAACGGCCCATGGATCTTTGCCTTCCTGTTTGTGTTTTCCTGTTTCACCTCGTGGATGTCTTCCCTTTGGTGCTGTCTTTTGTCGTCATTCTCTTTGGCAGCGCAACCGGACACAGAGCATTGGTCTTCTTGGGTCTGGAGACTGCAGTACTGATCATCCTTGGAATGCTCATAGGCAAGCCCAAGCCATTTACCCTATCTTGCTGGAGCAAGCGCTCAAAAGGTTCAAGGCTGAAGTATCTTCAAGAGTGGGGTGACTCCTTTTGTGGCTTGGGCTACTCGGATCAACTTCACTCCAGGATGCCCTTCATCTACATCACCTTCCTTCTCGGAATCTTGGCGGGTGCGCTGGATTGGTGGTATTCAATGTTTTATTGTGCCGCTACCTTGCTTCTTTGCTTCGTGGTGCAGACCTCAGTGTTGATCCAAAGGCCATGGGCATGGCTCTTTGGACTCCTAGAGAGCTTTGTGCTGATGATTGTGGCCAGCGCTATTTTGTGGGCAAGCCCAGTGCTGACTCCAGCGCAGGATTGCGGCCTCGTCTTCGCATTATTTCTTTGCAGACAATTTTGCTTGAAGCGAACCTTTGCCTCGGGCAGCCGCATTCAGCTTTCGGCATTGCTTCTTCTCTGCACATTTCAAATGGCGCTGGCCGCTTGGTGTGAAACAGCTGGCGCAGAACTGATGCAGGTAGAAACTGGCTTTGTATTGCCACCGGATCAACATAAACACAACATGGTGACTGTCCATTGTGCTAGAATCTAGAAGAATTGAGCCGTTTTGGTGAACCTAGACCCGGCCGGCGCACTCCCTTGCCACAGAACATCTCTTAAAATCAGAGGGTTTTGAAACAACCGGCGTGTCCTTGCAATCCCGGCGTGTCTTGGCAACTGCTGAGGTTGAACCCGTGCTTTCCCAATGTCCCTCAGTGTTCTCCCACTGCCAATGGGTGAACGATTGCGTTTTCCACATCGGCTCACCCCCTTTTGATTCAGAAAACCCTCCATACGAGGAGCTTGTGCAAGGAGCGAGAGAACCGCAAGTCCAAGCACCCAAATGGAGGTTTTATTCATCAAGAGTCTATATGTGTATATATATATATATACACATTGACTCCAGGCCCTGTCTGGGCTTTTTCATCCCTTTGCTTCGGTCCCCTCAGTCTTCTTTCTTTCAGAGTACCCACTGAAAGTACACTGACAGCACAAGGTTGTAACAAGGGCATCGCTACTAGGAACAAGGGCTGTATATACTAGTAGCTCTTCTAGCTAGTAGTTACTAGTAGCTTGTTCCTAGTAGCGATGCCCTGGTGCTAAGAAATTGGCACAACTGAAGCACCGAACCTTTGGACCTGAAGCGCTTGTGATCGAACGTCTTCTGTGAGACGGACTTAGATCTTTGATCGTACATCTCACCCCCACCGTACATCCTTATCTATGTATATGTATGTAGACCGTATACCGTGTTATCTCCATGTTGATCTTTGTTCTTCTGTGTGATTGATTTCTGAGAGCAATAGCTGCCCCCTAGCAATGTTTCGTTCATCCGCACAGCACTCAGATAAAAAGCTGCTGGGCTGTGTTTGCTGTGAGGTCACCGTCATTAGCTGCTGCATTGCAAACCACCGCACTGTCGGCTCCAATCCAATGTTTTGCGACCGTGGCTTATCTGATTGTCAGTACTACGATGTCCCATACATTGGAGACTTTGGTGGGCGCTGGCCCATTTGCGAGATTGGCTTCAGCACAGCCCCGTTCATGGAACACGACTTGACTCTAGCAGACTTCGCTCTCATGTCGGCCTTCACCTATGAGCCACCAAGCCATGTTCCCAGCTTGCTGCAGCAGTACTTTCCAAACTGGAGGGTGAGTTACAAGCACATCCCCATCATGCTGACAGGCACCTTTGATTGGACATCCTTTTATGAGTTCACCGCGGGGGACAACAGTACCACCGTTTTTGCAGTTCGTGGCACCACCGACATGTTCGATGCACTCCAAGATATGGACCTGTGGCTGCCGGTGGGCATGATGTACGTTTTTGAGAGGCTGGGCCCCAGTGTGATCCAGCTCTGGGGCCCGGGCATTGCATGGATTTGTCGCCATGTCTATGTCCAGCAAGATGGCAACTTTTCGCTCTCCTTTTTGAACTTGCTGAACATGGTCACGAATCGCATGACTAGTGACTTGGAACGTGCCAATGTTCATTTTCTCACCAAACTCATAGTTTAAACCTCTCTCAATTCAGACCTAGTGATTTGACTGGGGGCTTTCGTTCGCAAGGCTATCCCAACCGGACCTACTACATCACAGGCCACTCTCTTGGTGGTGGAATTGCCAAGTTGGTGGCCGCTGAGGCTCTGAGAAGAGAGCGACTGCTGCCAGGCCTGGCCTTGACCTTGTAACATTTTCAGACATGGTCAGGCGTTCATCCTGCCAACACCTTGATATATGTATGTAATATATTGGTATGGTATGGCATTGTATGGTAGTGTATGGTAATGTATGTATGTATTTTTTTTCCTAAAGCTGAGTGAGCTGCCTGTTTAGGCCTGTCTTGAGACGTGCTAGGGCAGTGCTCAGGCTTCTCAGAAGAAGTCGACGGTCATGTTGTCACCGCAGTCTTCATCTTCTGCTTCTGGTTGCTCTTCGACTGCATCTAGCTGAGTGCTGAAGTGGAGTCTCCGCAGCTGGGGCCTGGTGTCAGCCATGTCTGGGGCATAGTGCCTGGCTGTCTGTGGCCTTGCCTCTGGATCCTGTGGACTGTTGGTGTCCGTCTTTTTCTTGAAGAACTCACTGAGTGGTGGTGAGCCTTTGGTGCCAGCTCCTTTGCAGACTTTGGTCAGCACCTGGTTGGTGATGATGCGCTGCTCTCCATCAAGGTTCCACTGACACCCACATTGTGTGCATCTCACTTTCCCGCCCTTTTGCCACAGAGTGTGACTTGGGTGCCCTTGTGGCGGTTGTGGGAATGCTTGATCCACGCACTTGGATGTGATGAAGTGCTGGAAGGCCTCTTCATTGACTCGGTGGTCTCAGCAAACTGGTGCTCGTCAGGGCCTGGTGTTTGCTGTTGTTGCCGGTGCAGGAGGTCTTTTATTTCAGCCTTGGCTGGCAGGGCACATGCATCTTCAATCAGCACTTGCGGACAGTCTTCATGAAGTCGGCTTTCAAGAATGCTTTTGATCAAACCTTGATGCATTCTGGCGCCACACGCCGTGCATTGGTACCCGCTTCTATGAGGCTCCCACCTGTGATGGTTTTCTGCCCAGATTTTGCCACATTGCTTCACCAGATCACGCTTGTATTGTTTGGTGTGCTTCCCTTGATGTCTGGGAGCTTTCTGGTGAATAAAGTGCTGGGGGTCGTCGTAGATCTTGGCCAAACGTTGGACAGCATGGGTGTAAATCAGCTTGTGGTCGGAGTCTAAGATGTCCTGCCATTCTGCTTGTTTGTGGTCTTGGAACTGTTTGGCCCGCTCCCAGGCTGCTAGGGCAGAGTCCCGCTGGCGCCTCCTGAGCTGTGGTTCGTTGCCCAGTGCATCAGGAGTTCTGGTCGCTCTGCTGATGTAGAGCACCGCGATGCGGGCAAAGTCTTGCTCTGTGACTTCTTCAAGGATGTCCTGAAAGGCCGCTCTGCTGCGGGGTTGGTGCCATGCCTCCCAAACTGTGGCGATTTGGACGATGACTTTGGCCTGCATG